TTGTCTGTTTTTAATTAAGTTGACCTTCTGCAGTCCAAATAATTCTTATTCATTAAAACTGTCAGTCCATCACTGAGCCTAATATTAGCATCTAGTGAACCTATGATCAGTTTCAGCAATTTATAGAATATCATGGTTTTGATATGGTTTACAGTTCTTATTATTCAGGTAGTTTATTATTTATTCCAAATTATTTATGAAAACTGAATTAACATGGTGAAACTTTTTGAATTACATCCTGTTTAAACCTTTCCAAGTCAGCTTGAAACTGTGGGGTTCATGGTGCTTACAGGAAATATTTTGAATTTACAGGGTCTTTATTAATGCAGTGATAGTGTTATGAATGAATAGTAGACCATTTAACCATACAACCTCAGGAAAACTGACAAAACAATTTTGGAGAATTTGTCTTCTCCTCCCCAAAATATAATCCATGCACCAGAACATGAAAAATACCCGAGTGCTTCAGAAAAGCCCAGAGAGCCATCAGCACTGGGGACAGGAGATGGTGGTAAAGGGGAACACAGAAGATGTGCCATTTTCTTTGCTCCATTCACCTCATACTCTCCCAGGATCTATGGACACTAGGTTATGAATTGTATAGGGCTGAGTTGTGATATTTTCCTCCATAACTTTCTGTGGCACATCTCAGATATTCAGAAATCACAATTTAAATCTTAAATGCATTTTAACATCTCTTACATTTCCAACAAGGAATCTTCCCTTGTAAGTACTGAGGAATTAGGTCAATAACATTTTGTTCCATTTAAAGTTTACCCATCAGTTCAACTTAGTAAAACTCAGCCATAACCCTCCTGAGGTTTCTCTCCAGACTGACGATCCCCACCTGCTCAGTGTCCCTTCACAGTGCAGCCACTCCAAACCTTGGCTCTTTTCATCTGCATCCTCCCATGAATACTTTCTGTGTGCCCTCTATATCCTTTGACATGCACAGAGCTCTGCACACTGCAACCAACACCAGTGTTTGATATCACCAAAACAGGTTTTTTTTTGTTTGTAATACCCTTTCAAATGCAACCTAAAACACCAAAATTTTTTCTTTTGCTGCCACCCCATCCTGTGCCTGTAAACACTTTCAATAAGGTCAGGATCACTTTCTGGAGTTGTAACAAGCTCAGCATCATTTAGGTATGGGATAGTCTGTTTGTGTGAAATATTCCTTGCCTCACATTTGTCTCTGTTCAAGATCATCTGCAACTTCTTGACCATCTGCTCAGTTTTGGAGTTCCCACTATCAACTCAGCCTTTGACTACCTGAGGCATAATGTCATCAGCATTCTTGGAAATGTCACCATGCACCTCATGTCTCCAACAAATTTCTCACATTCATGCACCTCCTAAAAATATCTGTATCACTTTCTGTTACTCCTGTAATTGCTTCCCTCCTCCCCTCAGCCCCAACTGATTTTTGAATTCAGCTTGAAAAATACATGTAGAAGGGACTGTCAATGCGCCACATAAAAGTTCAAAACTTCATGTAAAACTGTGTAGGATTATCAAAATCAATTTCTTTCATTTGGGTAAGAAAATAGCAAAAACAGAGCTTACAATATATAAAGTTTCCTTGCCAAATAATGCTTAGCAGCATTATACTTGAATCTGAAATCACTAACAGATTTCATTTCTGGAATCCATTCAATTGCTAATGTCTTGCCACTTTATCTTGAGATCTGCTGAGCAAAAAAATGTAATAGGAAACAAAGTTTCAGTTGATCACTACTCTGAGCTACTGAGAATTAACTTTAAAGCAGAGCATAATGTATTAACTACAAAGAATAAAAATTGAAACCTAATAAAATTATTATTATTATAGTCAGTTTTCTTTTCTGGTTTACAGAAGGTTCTAAATGTTAATATCTATTTTCTTTTTATTTGAAATTATTATATGAAGATGTGTTATACCAGGTCTGCTCTCCCTTCAGTATCACCTTCATTCAATATAGTTTTAAAATGTTCCTCCTATTTTCTCATTCTCAAAATTGACTTTAGTAACATTATTTTAACTACAAAAATTAAATTTTTAGAAAACGTAGACAAAAATAAAAGGACTATTAAAACTTATGCGAGTCACAGTATAAGCATTCTGACTTTACAGGTGCTTTCTTTTCAATAGTCCATTTAAGCTGTTCTGAAAAAGAGAAATCAAATATGTCAATTGACACATATTTTTTGTAATTTATATTCTACTAATATATTTAAATAAATTTGACATAGTACCCACATATGCATTGGACAATGCCATAACTATATCAGCTCTTTGGAGTGTAAGTAGAGGCCACTTCCTTCAGCTTTTGTTTGCCTCATGCTTTGATCTTAATGATAAGTTAAAGCATTTTGGGTGACATGGGTTTCAAGTCTTAAAAAGAGAGAATATGACTACCCAAAACCAAATTAGGACAAATAATGAAAAACTAAAAGATGTCAAAGCATAAGAGTTATGCAAATCCCATGTCACCATGGTTATATAAAGATCGTGCAGCTGATAAGCCTGTGGTCTTTTCATGCCCAGGTTCATCAATAATTGAGACCTACTTAGAACACACAACTTTTTCCTGTCAATTAGTTTCTGTCCTTTGAAAATCCACTATAGAAGAGTGAAGAGAAAAGGAGGAGAGGAAAAGGAAAAGGAAAAGGAAAACGAAAAGGGAAAGGAAAAGGGAAAGGAAAGGAAAAAGAAAAGAAAAAGAAAAAGAAGAAAAAGAAAAAGAAAAAGAAAAAGAAAAAGAAAAAGAAAAAGAAAAAGAAAAAGAAAAAGAAAAAGAAAAAAAAGAAAAAGAAAAAAAAAGAAAAGAAAAAAGAAAAGAAAAAAGAAAAGAAAAAGAAAAGAAACCACATGTGTGGTGGCAGAAGTTAGGGTAGGATGTGTTTCCAAGACCTGGGAGCAAAAAGCATTCCCTGTCTCTGGCACAGCCAAGAAGACTGGGAGGTGAATAGAAGCATCCTGATGCACATGAGTCTCACTAAAGTGCACCAGGAACACTTCTATCAGTGCAGCACAACTCTATCTGTATTCCTCCTGGTGCAATGCTATTATTCATGCAAAGTTCACTAACTGAGGTCTCTGCAATCATTTTCCTCTAAATTACACAAGCTGTCATTCCAGAGGAAAACAAACCGATTGGTCAACATACTGAACAGAACAAAAGGAGGACAACATGGGCAAGTGTTTAAGAACCTTCATCTGGGGAACATAAGTGGATTATTCCCACTTAAAAAATGCTAGGCTTCCTTAAAATGCAGAATATGCCAAGAAAATCCATGTAATATTCTAACACTGCATTGAGCTGAAAGAACATTCAGTTAGACACTTCTATCAATATATGAAGGGATGAACAATAGGAATCTTGACCAGAACAGGAATATATTTTATGTCCTCAGACAAAGCTCAACCACAAATCTCTTTCTTCTGTGTTGCCAAAGCAGATTACAGGGCTGTTAAAATGATGTGTTATTATTTTGTGTTTGCACTTACATAACAAGTTAATACTTGGAAACACAGATGAGTTTCCAATGTACAAAAGAACAGCTTTTTATGGGACAACTAAAGGCCAAGGACTCCCTGGTGTAACAAATAACAGTGCCATCAACACCTGGAAATACAGCAGAAATAATTATTTAAGTTTCTGACAGCTATAGATTATTAGCTGCATCTCCTTCTTTTAACATAGAATCATTTAGGTTGGAAAAGACCTTCAGGATCATTGACTCTAATCCTTAACCCAGTACTTCCATCCTTAAACCATGTCCCTAAGGGACACACCTACATGTCTTCTAAATACCACTGGGAAACCTTCAAGCACGTTCCAGTACCCAAAGGGGAGCTACAGGAAGGCTGAAAAGAGACTTTTTACAGGGGCATGTAATGATAGGATAAAGGAGAATTGCCTTAAGACAAGGGAGTGTTTAGATTAGATATTAAGAAGAAATTATTTGCTTCTGTGTTGTGAGGCACCAATACAGGCTGTCCAGAGAGGTTGTGGAGTTCAAATCACTGGAATTTTTCAAAGCCAGGCTGTAGGAGGCTGTGAGAAACCTGATCTAGTAGAGGTTTCACTGTCTGTGCCAGGGGGGTTGGAGCTTAGTGAACTTTAAGTTCCCTTCCAACCTCAACCATTCTGTGATTCTATGGTGACTCAATGACTTCCTTGGGCAGCCTGTTTCAACTGATAACATGTTCCAAGTGAAACTTTAATCATGTTCAGGCTCAGTAATAACCCTCTAAGACACTCCCTTTTTGATGCTAGTAAACATTTTCACAGCTTTTTTGCCCCAGTGGCTCTGAAAAGAGTATTTTAAAGCAGAATGGCATATCCAGTTAGACTTAGCATGTAGATTAAGAACATGCTCTTTAATAAAACCTATCTTAACAGCAACTTTTTTTTTACATTGGAAATTCTCATTTTAAAGGTATAAAACTCTTTTTGTATTATCTCAAACACTCTAGCTTTCTGTGTCTACATGAAAAAAATTTATCTAAAAGTCATCATAAATAATATTAAATTGATAAATCCATTTTTTTTAAATCCAGCCTATGAAATGTAGATGTTAATAGCATTGATTTTTATAGATTAAAAAGATTAGGATTATCTTCTTAAATTAACCAAGGTATTATTAGTATTACAGAGATGTGTTTTAATGACATGCAATCAAACAGAAAGATTATAAAACAGTAAATTCTGTACTGTTCTACTTAAAATTGAACAGTTTTGGATGCTTGTTTAGTTCTTTTAAACATTAGGGGTTAAAAGATAAAAATATGGAGTCTGGAAGGGAGTGGTGGCCACTGACAGGAGTAAGTAGAAAAAAATTAAACAAATTACAGAGTATGAACAATTTATAGAACTCAAAATTAAAATACTGATAATTCCTTTTAAATTCAAAAACTCTAGATATTGAGATGTCCTTTGAAATTTCAAGCCATAATCAAATCTAAAACAACTAAAATAATTTCACAATATTTTTACCCTCTTTTAACCTACCTCTTTTTTTTCTCTACCAACTGTCTGCAGATCTCCTTCCACCGGTTATTCAAACTTTCCAGTTGTTCCTTCAGCACCTTGGCATCTGCCTTTGATGACTGCTTAATAATCTCTTCACCAGTTGCATTCAATGTTTTGACAACAGTTTGCTGCTGCCCAATGCCATCCTGAAGCTCCTGCAAAATACCCAACACATTCACATCTTCATAAGAAAGTTAAGTATGAAAAAAATGCTTCATCACATACTAGAAAGATGGAAAGAGGTGAAAGTTTTTGCTCTCCTCTGAAGTCCAAATGAAAAATCCAAGATGAGTAGACATAAGGACACTTCATTATTTTGTAGCAAATACCTTTCAGTACATCTCTGCAACCTTTCATCCCTTCCTATATTGCTGTCTCCTAGAGAGCATTACAGTATACTCTGCACATCAATTAATAACAGTTGAGAACAAATGTACTTCTACACACCCACAGGTATATATCACATAAAAGAGTCTACAAAGCATTGTAAGATTTAAGGTACAAAATATGCAAAATTCCTATTAGCTATAAACTCAAATAAACAATGTCAGGAAAGCAGAGACTGTAAAACTTCTGATTCCATTAAAGAACATCTTCTTCTCCAATTGTGAGAAGCCAAACAGTCATGTGTTTTTTTGTTTAGTTTTGATTGTTTGTTTGGTTGTGCTTTTGCTTTAGGGTTTTGTTTTTTTTGGTTTTTTTTTGCAGGAGGGGGAGGTTGGTTTTGTTGTTGCTGTTGTTTTTTAGGTTTGGTTTGGAATTTGGTGTTTGTTAGTTGGTTTGTTTTGTGGTTTTTTTTTAAACAGGACTGGGGAGAACAATAGATCTAAGAAAAAGTATTACAGTGTTTCTATTTACACATAGAATTAAAAACTATCAAAAGATAACCAATATGGGCCATTCTCAAGTTTTACTACATGCATTGGGATACATTTTTCTGCATCTTTTATGGTAAAAAAAAAAATTTTTTCTTGTGGAATTCCTGTAGCTACCTTACTTCCTGTTTAAAAACAACAGAATTCTGAATCTGTAGCTTAGATTGTAACACTGTATGCCTGTTGAATCAAGTTCATATCTATGAATAATCAATATTTTCATATTTTTAGTCATCACTAGAGCATGAGTATTTTTCCTTTGAATTCCTCAGAATATATAAACAAAAAAGTGTAAAATAATTTTCAACAGTTTACTGCTAAAATAAGCAAGAACTGAAATAACATCAGCAATCTACACTGTGGTATTCATACTTATGACAGATTTTCACAACTTCAGAAAGTGTGTCTGAATCCTATGTCCATACAAAGGCTTTCAAGTAAAATCCTGAAGCTGGTTTTTCTGGAGGAAACCAAATACTTCAGCATATCCTACTCCAGAATAAAATTATATGTCTGCTTTCTCTTTCTTAATACATAGCATAAATTGCAGAGCAAGTCAGCAAACCTACATTTTAACATTAAATAAAATTTGCCCATGAAACACTTAAATCTGACAGGATACAACTTTCCAGGAATGCAAAAGATGAACATAACTACTCCTTATGCTTTTTTGTAATATATATCTTTGGTCATGAGGTTATGATTGAAGCTCACAAACTGAACCAATCTGGAAGTTAACTTGTTCTAACACGACCAAACTCAGTTGCCAGCTACTCATTCATTAAATTGCATTGGGTCAGTTGAATGCTCTGTCTCAGCTTTTGCACAGATTTTACAGGGACAGCTTGAACATCAACACCAGCAGAGCCTGGGGCACAGGGGTCAATGTCAGCAGGTGTGTGGTGGTGTTTGCCCACAGTCCTGGACAAGGGGCTGTAGCTGAGGCAGAGGTTTGCAGTTTTGAGATTTAGCTTAATTTTACTACACTTTCCATTTGGTTTTATCACAATTTCTTTTAGGTTGTCACAGGACACACACACCCCATCCCCAAATTATTCCTTAGATTCCTCTCAGTAAAATCTGTTCTGCTGATGTGTTGGGGTTTTTTTCTAAACTATTTTGAAGCCCCACGGTTTCAGAATAAGAGGTAGCAGTGACGAGCATAACGTGGCAGTAATCTGCATCCTGTTTTATTATATTTTGATAGGATGAGAAATATTTTTCTGCAGGATCCTTACAAGCTATGTGACAGTCTAGTCATGTTACCCAGCACCCTGCTGCCCCACAGTGTCCCAGCACACTTTGCTTTGCCTGTGGAATGTGTAAGATTTCTAAGGTATCTTTGTAGCAGAAACGGCAAGATTTTCCAAGAGCCAGAATAGACACATTTCTGAGATGCACATTAATACAATAATACCTATCCCAACTTTTGACTATTATTTTCAGATACATGATTTCACTGTTAGAAAAAAAAAGCAGCAATAGCTAGGTTGTTTGTCTAAATGCAAATATTGTCTACTCTTGCAAGTCTAATTTGGTCTTTCCACTACCTATTTTCCTTTTGGTAATGCCCAGTATTACTAAGTACATAGTTTTCTCACAAATTCACTAGTTTTTGCACTTATTCACTGCATTTCACATAATTTTAGCACTAGGGTCTTTGCATTGCACAGTAGGGAGCATTACATGGGTAAATCATAACAAAGTAGAGTTTGAGAAAAAAGTATAGTCTGAGAAAAAATATACTAGAATAAGTGGCTTATTTCCAGCAAGGCACTTGATACCTTTGTGCTACTGCATGCACCTGTGTGAAGTTAAGATCCAGACCACTTACTGAAAAAACAACTCAGAACAAAGTTTCTATTCATATGCGGAGGTCCATTCATTTGGAATAGGAGATCAAAGCAAGAACAGAGATAGGAACTTCTACTTCTGGAACTCTGGAGGTTTTAGAAGCAAAATTTATAAGAAATTACTTGTTATCTATGAATCCACTTCTCTAAATGACAGAAACAACAGCCAGTCAGTAAAGTACTGTGAAGTGAAATGCTAAGTGAAAGCTCATTCAAGTACTCTGAGCTTATTTCCTGTACTCACGGCATCTTAAATTAGGTTTTCTCTCTCTCCCAGCATACACAAACACAAAAGAGCAACCAGTACATGATTGCCACACTTATTTCATTGACACAAAGGTAAACAAAGGAATTTTTTCATTTATCCTCTGACGTATTATGTAATAGGCCTCACTTACAAAGTAGAAAAGAAAATAGCTAGCTCAATGGCAGGGGTGGTCTTAGAACTTAAGATCCCTAATGCTGGAATGGGAACAGGATGTGTAGGAAGGAGAAGTGTGAACTTCCACCAGAACATGAGAGAAGATTTCTGGCCATCTGCATTTCAGATCACCATAAAGAACTCAATCTGAGATGCTTTTTTTTTCAAGTACTCTAAGCATTTAGCACTTTTAAATTGATTAAACAGAAACACGTGTGCTGATAAAGTTCTCCTGGATTCCACAGCTCATGAAAAAGATTTTTGTTGGTAATGGATACTGCACAAAGCAGAGCCTCCCATGAAGACATTTACCTTTTTTAAAAGGTATTTTTTATGAAGAGAACAAAAGTTCTTTAACTGTTTTACTGAAAGCCACATTTTCACACGCTCATCCCAGTGTTATTACCACAAAGATGTTTTTCACAACTTACATTAGTATCTAAGATTAACAAATGTACTTAAAAATCATTTATTGTTATGGAAAAGCCCTGCAACAACATGAAAAAATATTAAAACCAAGCTAATTTCTGTCAGAAAAAATGAATGGTCACAAAATTATTTAAGGGGAAAAAAAATGTATTGCCTCTCCTTCCGGCAGTGTAAGTACAGATCCAAAAGCTCTTAAAGGTACTATGCACTACTTTAAAAAACTGTAGTCCTAAATTCAACATTTATGTTCTAATCTTCAGCCATTTACATAAATTTCCCCTATGCTTTAAATCACATAAAACCATAAGGTTGACATAAGACTGTCTACTCAGATGCAACAATATAAATCAAAGAACCGTGGAAACATCTGGTGGAAAACTATCCCCAAAACAATTTGCTAGCATTTGGTTACCAGAATGAATTTACCCATTTAGAGTATGCACCTCTGTTCAATATTCTATTAGAAATAAGGAAGAAATTAATTTTCTAGGCAGTTAAACCGTAGTGATTTAATCTGGAGACACATTACTGGCACTTTGTTAGGATTAAAGCAATCAACAAAGAGTATATGATGTTTCCTAACTGTTTTGTGACCAACAGCTATGAAATGTTTGTTGCTTGGTGTGCACTATGTTGGTTATTGTGTTAGTATTATTATGAATTATGGAAATTCAGGATAGCTGATGGAGATGGAAAAGTGAAAAATAGTGAAAAAAGTTGTTTTCTATGGAGTTGACAATAATGTAAAGGAAAATGTTTTCTTCTCAACATAAATTATAGGAAGTGTAATGGCTTGAATATTAATACCAACCCTGTTCAGGAATAGTATTTGAAAGAGGTGACAGTAGGCTCTGGGCAGATTCTCCCTATAAAGCAGACCTGGGTTTATGTTCTCTGTTTTTGGGTATCAGCTGTACATGAGAAACCAAAAGAAAATTACTGCAGACCTGTTTTCTGAACATACAATAAATACTGTAAAATTAAAAGGAGATTTCATTCTCACTTTGAAAAAAAATTATTAATAGAATTATTTGTGGCTTAAGCCACAGTTTATCTAAAAAGCTTATAAAGCATAGAAACATTTTGCTTGATTTGGTATGCAAATTGCTTTGTTGGAGAGCCTTAGGAAATGACTATTCTATCCTGCTTTCTGTATTACTTCTTTTTTTTCTACAGTTTGGTGCTGTACAGTTAGGAAGACATGAGGGCCACTATTTCCTTAGATGGATTTTATATTATCCATGACTGATAGTATAGATAAAGAAAGTTGGGTACAATTCTACTTCACAGTTGTATATTTTAACAAAATAAATGGAGATATAAAACTTCTTATACTCTGCCAAAAGCTTCTAAACTCAGCAAGAGTTCCAGATTTATTTGAAAGTTTTAATCTCTTCCAGACTTTATCCTTTGACTGTGCCTTTTGTCTCTAGAAAGGGAGAAATCTGTCCTTCAGAAGACAAGCCAAAAAAGTGGAAACTTCATTATTTTACCTACAGAAATTCTTTAATCTATCCTGCTGGTCTTAAAAAAAGCAATAGTCTACTATGGCTTACTAACTTCGTACCCCAGGTTGC